TACGTCTTTTGTTTCAAATGTTTACCCGCGACACGCATCCAATGAAAAGAACATGATTCGTTTCCTAACCGTCATTTTTAGTAACCGTGATTCAAACTACTGTAAAGGGGGTAATTATTCACTGTGTTTTAATTTAGATTATTTCGCTGACTGGAAAATGTGCTAAATTAAAACCCAGTGAATAAGTAAAATTTAGCATAGAACACATTATCTAAATGACGAAACCGTGAATTTAAAACCCACTGAAGAGAGCCTGAAGAGAGAGCGAGAGAGAGAGAGAGAGAGATGGACATGATTCTCTTAAAAAATGAAATCTTAACTCCATGAAACGCTATTTCCTACGCTATTTGCCGACGCAGCTTGATTTTGGACGCCCAACCCACAACATTTTCTGCCGCTGGCTTAGCCACAGGTCATTCACTTCACAAGAATTTTTTGTACGGTCACTCAGAGAACACCTGAGATGATCTGCTAACTTTTCATATTTTGCCATGTTCGTGAACGCTATAATGCGAACAATTTTTAATTTAGAAATACTGCTTCATGTATATAGAGCGTTGTCAGTTGATTGACGTCCATTCTTTCATTTGGGCGTTAGCAGTATCTCCTAATACCCATTGACAATTGTTTGTTTAACAGTGAATGACTTGTTTGTTCATTGTATTACGACGCTGGACCCGTTAAACTCAGTGCCAGTGTGTACAATTGAATTATCGATGTGTCTAACACGTTTTTTGTGTATCTATCAACCGTTTCTCAAGGGACGATGATCTGTGAACCTGCTAAATACAGCTATCACATTACTATAATACGCTGAGTATTGTTTTTTTTATAGCGTGTTAGCATGGAGGTTACTAACACCTCCATGGTGTTAGTAAGTGGTGGTGGTTTCAATAAACATAGATCCATGGACAATCGATACAAGGGGCGGGGGTGTTACTCGCATAAACTGATTACTGTATGGTGTGTATTGATTCTGGCAGGTTTACTGAATTTTCTTGGTAAGCATGGTGTTATTGAATCAGAAAAACGACACATTGCATCACGTCCGAGAATCTTGCTTAGTTTGAACAGGGAGCTGTAATGAGATTATTTACAGCTCCCTGGTTTGAACGAACAACTTTAAACAAATATATTTCTCGTATATATGACAATGAAATAATTAGTATAAATAAACGACATTGCCCTGCCTGGGACCGGACGCGCGTCATTCATACGCGCAGCATAGTAATCGATCGACCGTCAACATGATAGTTAGAATACGCGGTGAACTTTTCAATTTGTCGATAACATTTCGGCGTATAAACTGAATGTGCTGACTGGGAATACATTTGAGGTGGACAGCATATATTTAACAACCGAATCTCTTAATGGCGACAATAATATATGGGTTACATTGCAGGACGAGGTGGGATGTTTTGCTGTTGACGGAACAAAAATCTATGAAATTAGGGGTCTTATCGCATCCTCTAGTGAGCGAACGTCCGATGGTAAGTAGTTTTATTTTTGTGGCTGACATATGTTTTTTGCAAACGTCGTGTGTTTAATAGATGTATAAACATATTGTTCACTCCTTAGACTTGGAGGGTGCCAATGTAAGTTTTCGTAGTGGATTTGATAATACCGTATTACAAAATCGAACGAGTAATGATGGTGACAGAAACGTCCCTGGACAGAGTAGGATTGTAGAAGAGGTGAGCATTATCGAGATTACTACGATTCGCCCGATTGTTTGTGCAAGTGAGGTAATGTCTAATGTAATTTATACCTTTTTTTCTTTTGTAGGCGTGTTCATACCTAAAATGTATGATATGTTTTGATAGTGTGAGCTTTCCTAGGCTATATCGGCGTGTTTCCACTGCAGTCGTGTAATAGGCTGTCACACGTGTTGTATACTTCTAAATACATGTCCTAATTGTAGAATGATCGGGAAAACAAGGACACTCAAAGGGATGGATGAATTTGCTGATTTACTTGGCTTTAAACGCAACACTCCTTTTGATATAGATCAGCTTCGACACTCAACAAATACATAATAGAATGGCAACTGAAACCCTATCTGATGATCGATTGAATAGTGAAGTCTTTGAAATCAGCGACGATGAATTATGAATGTCATTATTTTTTTTGCGACGTCGTTTTTGTTCAGCTACTTGCCATGTTTGTAATAACCAAACAATACAAATACTAAATAAAAGATTAAAAAAAAATCGTTGTGTTTCTGTTCCATGGAAATCTTCTGGAGAACATCGACATATTCTGTATTTATATAGTATAAATCGTGTCAAGTATATCTCTATCAAAATCAGTCAGAAATAAGGAGATACGACCGCGCGTATGTTTTGTGTAATACGCTAAAGTGTGCCAATTTACACGCCCATTGAGACAGGAACTTTGTATGTTATACGTTCCATTAGCCCGACTTCGAGTATGTTTTTTGTGATGCGTACCAGACCAAAATACACTCACTCGGTCGTGGGGGCGACAAGGGATAATCAGGCCCGTAGCCAGCACTTTTGAATAGGGGGTTCGAAAACAACAATAAATGATATATTTATTTATAATATTCAAAAAGTGTTGTTGAGCTCTGTTACATACATTTTTATATTCTCGGTTTTAAATTCAATTGGTTTACTTTGTGTTACGTTGGTAAGTTATTCCACATAACATTTTTGAACTATTTTACCATTTTAGAGAAGGGGTGCTAGGCCATTCCCCACCCACAAACACACCCACACCCTTGATCCATTACGGCAAAATGTTGTACACAAAAAAGACAAGACTGTACGTATCTTAGCATTATTGTCCAAGCATTTTAAGGTAGAATGCTACTCACGAGCTTTTTCGCTCTTCACAGATGTTAGCGCACATAAAAGTGACACAATTTCATGTCGAAATCTGTCTACAATTATTCATTTTAGTATCAGTCAATTATGTAATTTTATTTCTGTACAGAGCCTCACCACATCGTACAAAATGTAATGGGTAGAAAAGTGCAAGTGTCACAAGGGGAATTTCTGTATGCAAATGAGAAGCTAATGAGGAGCCTCGTTTTAAAATACACAAAAATAAAGTTGCCGTAGACTGAGTCTGAAACTCATTTTTTCACTTAAAAAATAATTTATGCTTAGAAACATAAAAATTAATAATATTTATATATCAATGGATAATTTTAGGCGTGGAAATAGCAGCCATTTCACAGGTACTTTAAACTTGATCATTTCGATCGAATCCACAGTCACTTGGGGGCTGAAAATCAATAATTAGTATTAGTTAGTAAATTAGTATTTATTGATTTTCAGTCCCCAAGTAACTGTGATCGAATCGTATATGCCAGAATAAACATTTTCGTATTTGGCGCGATTTTTCCACGAAGAGGTGTTTTCTTGGGTAAACGGAAAATAACAGCTGTTGGACGTACGTTGTCCTCTAGATCTCTTGTCTCTATTGATGAAATCGGTGAGAAACTTACCGGGCTCTTTCGTAAGACATGCCCAGGCGATTTCTTTTCTACTCATGAACGCGAGCAGTTCCCTGCCGTTCTTATCCCTCGTGAACGTGTGACCGTTATTATGCGATAGAGAGTAGTATATTTATGTTGAAAAGGTAGGTGGGGATAGAGCGTACAACTAATCCTTGTCACCCCTGAAACAATAAAATATGTACTGGCCATTTTATGGATGTTGGGAAGTACTTGCCTGAAGAGGGCGCACAACCAAGACGTTTTCTGTATACTTGTACACCCAACGGCATTATTTCAACTCAAACTGCGACCAACCTTTCACCAACTCATGCAATTAATTTAAAGAGGTTCTAGCTGAATTAGAGATCGAATGTCATGTTTGTCATACTTTTATTATTATTGGTTCATGCCAACAGAATACACTAAAATGAAAAACAATGGAGTCGCGGAGAAATGTACAAATGGTCGAAACTGGAATTTTTTCACTTGTGTCAATGGGAAGATTATTCCTTCATATCTCAACGTTTTCTCGGTATTATGGGATAAAAATCACATAATATTATTAACGTGAATCCTAATCTTGTGATTTTTTTTTAAATGACAAACAATTTTGTGATTTTTCATGCTATACAATGGGAGGTTGTCTCCCATAATGCATTGCGTATATGCGCAGTGAGTAGTGCAACAATTGAATTCCACTCGAACTACCTTAACTGTGGGGTAGCAACATCTAGGACTTCGGTGATGGTGAAGGACCAAATGATTGCCGCGTAGCCCATCGCTTTCTCATCTCATTGCACGACAGACGTCAGGAGAATATTTCAGTAGCAAGGTTGTGTTACTCAGACGCTTTGTCAAAAAGACACTAGACATTTCAGTTTAATTTATTATCTGTTCCCAATCATTCCATCTACGTAAAGTACAATGCGATTGTAATATTTTATTTATTTAAAATGTAAAAATAACCATCTATAACGATTGAATACTTGAAAAAGGTACTTACATTTTTAAATTCACATTTGTACAGTAAATATGTAATATAATAAATTACCGGACAGTCCCCTTGATTGCCCACTGTGATTGAAATATTATAAGAAAATCATTAAGATTATGACAACTTGACCTCTTACACGTGACACTCCCATGAAGCACTGTGATTGGCCGACGCATGGTCCACAGTGAGAAGATGTGACCCAAACAGGTGGTACAAACATAGAGAATTGTGAGTGGCTGATTCAAAATGATCTACATGTCCTGTGTATTGGTAACCAGTACGGTTAAGGTAAATACAATTCGCTAAATTAGTTCTACGTAATATATCAACAGTTTTAAAATAACTCTATTCGTCTATAATATCATTCTAAATAAGGTAATATCTGTACTAGTAATTTATGTCAGCTAGTACTACGAGTGCTCCAACGCTGCCTGTATAACAGAAAATTTATTACAATCTCACCCAACCCCGAACCCATCCCATCATCCCACCTCAACCCCTCAACCCTAATTCTCAAACATAGCACACCTTCCATTCTGTATTCTAACTAATCTCCCAACCCAACCCCTTCGCCCCACCCGAACCCATCCCATCATCCCACCTCAACCCCTCAACCCTAATTCCCAAACATAGCACACCTTCCATTCTGTATTCTAACTAATCTCCCAACCCAACCCCTTCGCCCCACCCAAACCCATTGATCACATCTAACCCACATTCCATCCAAGTACAGAGATTAAGAAAACATGCATACAGTCTGTAATTTCCCATAAATCAATAACATAAAAAAATGCTCAAATTGAACGAATAGAAAATCTGACATGCCACCTTTTGCAACAGTAATGACAACTTTCCAGCTTTGAAATACACCATAATAAGATGGTCGTCGATTGACCTTTCATCCCGGTAACTACAGTCACGTGACCTCGTCCTATTGCACCATATAGTCACATCATATTAATGTAAATAATACAAAAATATTTATAATCTAGAAAAATACTAAAGTTTTTTTTTT